AGTCTGGCTATTCCAAGCGAGTCATGTCATTTTCTCAGCCCCATTTTTTTCTCATCTGAAATTAGAAATTATAATTGTGGCTAATGTATATGGCTAGGGCAAAAGGAAAGATTTTAGTGTAGTGCCTAGCATATAATCAACTCTAAATAAGTGTGTGGTATTATTGGAAAGTTTTAATTTTAAAACATTTCAAATATATAATTTTTTCTTATAGAATTGATGTAAATGTCTTAAAAAGAATATTTGTAAGTCCTTAAATAATGCCCAAGTTTTTTTTGTTTTCCTCTTATTAAAAAAAAAATTACCAGTCAATCTCACACAGATTTTTCTGAAACTTCCATTTTACCAAAATTAGAAACCAAGAAACTGCCTTGACTTTACTAAGAAATTAATATGCCATGACTAAAGTGTTATACAACTGTGTCCCTTTCAGTGATGAATAAGCTGCAAATGATTGGCCCAAGTCACAAAGACTTTATAAGAAAGGAATAAATAGGCTGGCTGAGTCTTAATACATCATCATCACACGAAATTGTCAGGCTGTATGTAGCTACTTGTATTCAAATGATCAGAGACACACATGCACCCTGCAACCGTCTCTATTTGTTCTAGAAAAGTTACTGATATTAAGACCTAGCTTAAGCCGGGCGGTGGTGGCGCACGCCTTTAATCCCAGCACTCGGGAGGCAGAGGCAGGCGGATCTCTGTGAGTTCGAGACCAGCCTGGTCTACAAGAGCTAGTTCCAGGACAGGCTCCAAAGCCACAGAGAAACCCTGTCTCGAAAAACCAAAAAAAAAAAAAAAAAAAAAAAAAAAAAAAAAAAAAGACCTAGCTTAAATGAAGCAGTTACAAGTATTTTTCACATCTCCAACTCAACATTGGCTAAAGAGCAGAAGACAAAATGATTTACTCTCTAGAGTAAGAAAATAGTCTGAATCCCAATGTTTGCATTTTCATTTCCATCCTGCCACTAATCACCTGACCACTTTAAAGTCAATCTTCATGGCTAATTGGTTTAAATTGAAAGTGAGACAAGAGGGGAACTTCTGATGTCCGTTATGAAGAGAAAGCCTATGAAAAAAGGCATTCATTTAAGAATAACATTTATGCCCACATCCTTACTCTGTAACTTCTTGTTCCTTATCTTTGAGAAAATTTCTTGAAATAAAATTTAATTGGACTTTTCAGTGAAAAGCAAGTGAAATAAAACATGTAAAGTCCAAGCACATAGGAAGTTGTGGAGAATTCATTTTTCCCATTAAACTACATTTCTTTTTCTTTTTGTAAGAATCCAACAGAGTTTTCTTTTTGGATTTGATTTCAATTATATTAATCAAAAGCTTCTCTTTTTCTCGTCACGTCCCGCTCTCTCCCTCTCTCTGTGTGTTTTCTCTTCATTCTGAACAAAAGTCATTTATAAGACAAAATTATGTTATTTATAATATTTATACAAAGGTAGTTCCATACGTTGTCTGGGTGAGGTGGCTCTTCCTAGGTGTGTTAGTCTTTAGGTTTACCCTGTGTCTGTATGCCTATGAGGGAATTTTTTTTATAACTTCTGCTTTTGCAATATATTGATTTAGTTGAACATGGCAGAACTATATAATAAACTATCATAAAAGTGAATATGTGTATATCTAGATAAAGTATAAATAATATAGAGTATGTAATGCAACTCCTAATTCTTACTGGGAATCTGGTGAAATCTTTGTCAGTATATGAAAGACAGTGATATTGTTCCTTTGAAACAAATGGTCTGCCAGGGTAAATGCCAGGGGTATAGATTTTCCTTTCCTATTGTCCACAACTCCTGGAATTTGAAGCTTGAATATCCTATTTATAGTGTTGCCCAGCTCTGACCTTCTGAACCCCTGAGCAGGGACGAGCTCCCAAACAGAAGGGTCTATTAATTGTAGTTAGAAAATTCATGAAGACAGAGACAGAATGAGTGCAGGTAGATGTGGAAGGAAACACTGATAGGGACTTAGTAGCATCAGAGAGTTACCTAAATGTTTAAGCATGAAGCAAGTTATGCTGCCTCATACATGAACCTGCGATCAAAGGGCTCTTCACACTGAGTTCTGGCTGGAGCAAGGAAAGGGTACCAACTTAAAATTTCAGCTCAGATTCACTTATATTATTGCATGTGTTTGCTTACTGTAGGTTGTCCAGATGGTTACACTGGTGAACATGAAGTGTCTTTGCTAGATAGGTGTAATGGTAAAAATAAAATGGCTCTAGTCCCCAAGTGGTGGCAGCAGGCAGCAGGCCACCAGGGGCAGTGGGTCCCAGGCAGGGAGCCACTCAGTGGTTGAGAGACCTTGGAGGGTCAGCCAGTCCCAACGAGGAGCTGCAGTGGGTGAGAGACAGAGATGGATAGGCAGGCCATGCAGAGTGAGGTTGGATATTTATTTAGTGGGTTATGGAAGGGAAGGGGAAAGGAGAGAGGGAGGGAGAAGGGGGATGAGGAGAGAGAGGCAGAGAGGGAGAGAAAGAGAGAGAGGGAGAGAGAGAAACAGAGGGAGAGAGAGAAAGGAGGAGGGGAGAGGGGCCATGGCAGGCAGCTGCAGCCTCTTCCGAAGAGGGATGGAAAAGAGAGAGCTCACACAGGCTAAAACCGAAGAAAGATCCACTTGCCTCAGTGGAAGGGGAGAGGAGTGGGCAGGGCTTGTCTCCTAAAGGAACAGGACAGACCATTACAATAGGGGACTAAAAAAGTTAGATTTCTAAGAATAACCTTCCTCTATGGGAAAATGGAACAGTTCAGCAATGTTGGGGGTAGAGTGAAATGGGGATGAAACAGTCCAGGGTCAGTTGCTGCAGTTCCAGACCAGCTCCCTGTATTGTGGCAAGGAGAACATGGGGTGTCAAACTAGAGTAAAACAAAAGACAAATCTCTCATGTAAAAATTGAGTCGCCTTAATAGAAATTTCTTAAATGTAATTAATGAAAAAAAAATTAGAAATTGTTATACTCAGATTACAACTAACCACTTCTATTTTTACATTTTATATATTGATGACATAGATTCTGAAGGTTTTTCAAGAATGTTTTTCTCATTATGAAGCATTAAGTATAAAGAAAGGATTGTAAAAAGTAAATAGTGGGAGAACTCTCATTCCAGTAAGACTGAAAATGCATATACATAACGTTGTCTTATTAGGGTTTCTATTGTTGCAACAGAACACCATGATCAAAAGCAAGCTGGAGAGGAAAGGGTTCATTCAGATTACACTTCCACATTGCTCTTCCTAACCAAAGGAAGTCAGGACAGGAACTCAAGCAGGGAAGGAACTTGGAGGCAGGAGCTGATGCACAGGCCGTGGAGAAGGGCTATGTGCTTCTGTGGCTTGCTCAGCTTGCTTTCTTTTAGAACCCAGGACCGCCAGCCCAGGGATGGCACCCCCAACAATGGTCTGCGCCCTCCCTCATTGATTACTAATTGAGAAAATGCCTTACCACTGGATCTCATGAAGGAATTGCCTCAACTGAGGCTCTTTCCTCTCTGATGACTCCAGTTTGTATCAAGTTGATATACAGAACCAGCCAGTACAACATGCTGCCATATATTTTACATAAAATATCTCAAAACAACAAATAATATGGGAAGTACATTTTTCACTTTTTTTCCAATTTTAATTTATAGCACATAGTCATTGATTTTAAAATAAAAACAATTCACAAAGGTATGAAAGAGAAAGTAAACCCACACAAAAATTTGTTCTAGCTATCTTATCCCACACACACATGGTTTGGATGACTGTATCAAGTCAGATGCACACTGTTTTATACAGCAAGTTTCAGAGAAACAACATATTGTAAACCTCTAATGTCTTTAAAGAGAGGTCTGTTCTTTTTATGTGATGTGCACTCTAATTGAGCAATAAATTATTAAATCAGTTATTGTTGAGGGACAGATGGCTTCCAAAGCTTTCACCAGCAGAAAGTAATACCATAGAGCATAGCCCATGTATCCATCTCTCAGAGCTTTTTGTAGTTACAGACTAAAACTACTACCCTAGAAGAGAAATTGCTAGATCAAAAGTATGTATCTACTTTTAAATCGGTTCCTATTTTTAAACTTTTCCCTTCAGAAATTTACAGTTCCACAAAGCCTGAATGTAAGTCTGTAACTTACATGTGTGGTGCCAGCAGAGGCAAGAAGAAAGTATTGGGTACCGGGGACTGGACTTACACATGGCTGTAACCCTCCATGTGGATGCTGGGCACTAAACCAGGGTCCTCTGGAAAGAGCAGCCAGTTCCCTTAAACTCTCAGCTGGTTCTCCCTGAAGGTCCATTCTTAACACACACCACTACAGCAAGTCCTTTTCATTTTTGATAAATCAAATGGATTTCCTCCTTACCCTCCCTCCCTCTTTCCTCCCTCCTTACCCTCCCTCCCTCTTTCCTCCCTCCTTACCCTCCCTCCCTCTTTCCTCCCTCCTTCCCTCCCTTCCTTTTTCCCTCCCTTCTCTCCCTTCTTCCCTTCCTCCATTCCTTCTTTCCCTCCCTACTTCCCTCCTTTTCTTTCTTTTCCTTTACTATTAAGTTAAAAATCTTCTTTGTCCATTTTTTTTGTCCATTTCCAGTTCATCTTCTGACATTGTTTATGTCACTAACGTATTTTTATTGTGTCAGACCGCTGCCTTAAAATTTTGAGAACTCTATATTGTGAATATTACGTTTTGGGTTACATTGCATTTTTATTTATAGTTGTAAATATAAGTATCTCTTTCAATTTATTTCTACTTCATCTTTTATTGACTATTTTAGTTACCTATTTAAAATCATCAAATGGGGCTGGAGAGATGGCTCAGCGGTTAAGAGCATTGCCTGCTCTTCCAAAGGTCCTGAGTTCAATTCCCAGCAACCACATGGTGGCTCACAGCCATCTGTAATGAGGTCTGGTGCCCTCTTCTGGTCTGCAGGCATACACACAGACAGAATATTGTATACATAATAAATAAATAAATATTTAAAAAAAATAAATAAAATCATCAAATGTTTTTATTTTTATAGGCCTTACTATTTAATTGTAGAATTATGATTTTTAAATGTTTCGTTATGTTTATTTATGGATTGAGGAGCATGCGCAGGCCTGAGTTCCATGTCATATGAGTGGAGGTGAGAAGATAGCTTTCAGGAATCCGTTCTCTCCTTCCACCGCATGGATCCCAAGGATTGAACTCAGATCGCCAAGCTTGGTAGTAAGTGTCTTTATCCACTAAACCGTCTTGCCAGCCCAAGAATTACATTTTTTTAAATGTAGGAATATAGTGAATAGCCAGGCACAGTGGTGCACACTTTTTGTCTCAGAATTTAGAGGACAGAGGCAGGCAGATCTCTATGAGTCTGAGACCAATCTGGTCTACATAGCAAGTTCCAAGCCATTAGGGCTACATGGTGAGACCTTGTCTCAAAGACACAAACAACCACCGCCTCAAAAATGAATACAGTGAATGATAAAAATAGATGCCGGTGGTGGTTTGAAAGAAAATGGCCTCTAAAGGGACTAGCACTATTCGGAGGCAGGGTTTTGTTAAGTGTTTTGTTGAAGTAGGTGTAGCCTTGTTGGAGGAAGTGTGCCACTGTGGGGCAGACTATGAAGTCTCCTTTGCTCAAGCTTCTTCCAGTGTGACACTCAATCTAGTCTACTTCCTTTTGCCTGAATAGCAACATGTGGCAGCTCCTTCCCCAGCACCATGTCTGCTGCACACTGCTGCACTCCCTGCCATGATGATAATGGACGACACCTCTGAAACTGTGAGCTGCCACCCCAGTGAAATGTTTGCCTTTCTAAGAGTTGCTGTGGCCGTGGTGTCTTCATAGCCGTAGAGATGCTGCCTGAGACAGACTGTCAGCTCTGTCAGCGTCAGAGGTACATCCTTGGTATGTAGTTTGATCTACTCATCATCTGCCCTCCTGAAACATAGTTGATAAAAGTCTACCTATTAAACTTCCTTCAAGTTACAATCTAACAGTATTCTAACTAGAAAGCAACTGCCATTCAATCCCAGTCTAGAGTTGATTTTGAAGATTTTTCACAAGTGGTATTATTGGAGTGGAGAATAGTTACGCAACTTCTGTGGCTTCGTACCTGTTATTCTCCAAACGGCGAATGCCAGTAATACTGTGCCTCCATCTTGTTTCAGTTTTTATCACTTTGGACTTTGTAATTGTTGTAAGTGGTTATCGGCTTGACAGGATTCATGACCACAGACAAGCCTCTGTACGAGCTTGTGAGGAATTAACTAGATTAGATCAGCGGGGGTGGGTGGAGCCACCTAAGTGCACCGCACTATTCTCCGGACTTGGGTCCTGGGACCTACGTGAAAAGAAGAAAGTGAACCTAGTGCCAGCGTTGGTCATGTCACTTCCTGCTTACAGATGGCAGATGCGCTGTGCCTTGTGACAGCCACTTCAAGCTCTTGCCGCCAGGGCTGCCCTGCCAGGCTGCACTATGTTCCCGATCAGAGTCAGAGTAAGTCCTTTCTCTCCCGAGTAAGTCCTTTCTCTCCCGGAAGTTGCTTGCCTCAGGGCATTTTGTCACAGCAATAGGAAAAGTGACTAAGGCTGTATTTTGTTACCTTAAAACGTATAAAGATATATTTGTTTAAATTTGTTTCATCTCAAGTTGCAGTTTTCTGTGTATTTTGAATTATAAAAAATTATAAGATTTGGTTTCTAGAGAGGTTACAAGAAAGAAAATTAATGATGATAAAAGTTTCTATTTTAGAGATGTGTTTTTAAATTTGGAGAACTAGAATAATTTCATTCTTGTAAGATGAAGGAAATGTCCATTTTGAGCAAAAATAAAAATTCCAAAGACAACTTTATGTCATAATTCTCAGATTCACACCCCTTTCATCTTGACAGTGACTTTCCCTTATATGATCAAATTTAGAACTGGGCCTGTATTATATTAGTTTTCACGCTTCTGCTAGAATGATCTTTTAAGGATACAAGCGTAAAACCACTTAGTTAAGTCTTCAATCTTTAACACGGCTTTTTAGAGCTTTAACAATCTGCCATTCCCTCAGTATTCCTGTGAGGGCACTGCTCTCGGTGCTGGCATTCTCTTAGTTGGGGAAATCTGTTATCTCTAGTCACTTAGGACTGTATTTCTCTTGCCTAAAAAGTTTCTTGCACAAATTTGACCCCAATAAATCATCATCCTTTAGGCATATCTTTAAATATTTTGTATTTTGACGTAGGTGGGCAGAGAAAGGCTTTAAAGTAAGTTGGCTAACAGATACCAAGACTCAGGTAGACGGAATCAGCTCTGGGGTTCTGCAGGGGAGACGGATGTCCACAGTTTGTAGTAAACTGTTCCGTGTAATGAAAAGTTAGAAAAGCAGTGCCCAAAGGCTCTGTCTAAATAAACCAACAAAAAAGATAAGAGAAGGAAATGTTAACTGTCCTGAGCGGGTCAGTTTGTGCTTGCATGGGTTAAAATACACTGTGTACTATTAATATGTAAAAGCAACACGTGATAGTTCAAAATGGCAACAATCCAGACAACACTCTAAGAAAAATGATAGGCAACCATGGCTAATGTCTCCTATAAATGAGGGGTCCTAAAACTTGGTTTCACGGTAAAACACTTCTAGTGTGAAAAGCTGCCTGCCTTCTCCTTTGTTTTGGTGTTGTTGGTTTACCAGTACTGTGCTCGAAGTAGGCTGCAGCTATACATTTTTCCTTAGGAATTACATTTAAAAATGTAACTTTTAACGAGCCCATGCATTTCCAGTAAAAGTAATTCAATGATTGTATGTGAGGAGAACTACCAGTAATAGCAAGTTTTCTACTCAGCCATCCGAAATGGCCACAAAGTAGTAACAAAACTTGTAACAAGCTTACCCATCGCTAGCACTTTAGCAGAGACCTGCGAGAAGAGAGAGCAGAAGGCAGGACAGATTCTTAGAGAGGAGACAGAAGACAAACTCCTCCCACTTGCTAGTTTCTTGGATTAGCCTGGGAGCAAGATGATAGGATCAGCGTCATTTTTCTGTATAATTATGAGATACTTTTATTATTTTGCATTTGAGTTACTTTGTAAGCAAGAAGATGTCTATTCTGTTTAGCAGATCAAAGTAAAGTAAAGCTTTCATCTCGAGACTCTTTGAGACTAACAAAAATTTTAAACTATTTCTTTTTTTTTTATTGAGAATAAGAAAAAGTTTCCGCCTCCTCCCAGCCTCCCATTTCCTTCCCCCTCTCCCCACTCCTCTCCCCCTC